TGTTAAGGTTTTCATGTGTGTAGCCCTTTATCATATAGAGGGTAAATAGTTATAGAAAATCTGAGGAGATTGCATACATCCCAGAACGTAAATTTGGGCTAAAGCTCTATATATCTTGATTTTCTCTTCCTAATAATTTGGTTGTTTAATAAGCTATATATCTGTCGATTTGCAGCGTTTTCTGTTAGGTTTCTCGTGTTTTTGTATTAAATTCACTTGGTTTTATTCAACATCTTTGTAGAAATTTTTATTTAACTTCTCTTTTGAAATCTTTTGCTGACGAATTATTTGGCTTATTAGGTAGAGAAAAGACGTAGTTCAAGAAGCTGATTTAGTGTTTTTGAAGCAACGCAGCGTGTATTTTAAGTGGTCGGTGATGCTCTTAAACCAGTTTTAGACACTGCTTTTTACATCGCAAAGCAAGCTGGTTAAAAGGATTTAAATCTTACTTTTCTTGCTTTCTCACAGGCTTCCAAGAAGCATAATAAGAATTGAAAAGTTCTCATTTTGATGCAGGCATGTTGATAATGCTGCACAGTTCAGAAATTTACATTAGAATGCATTTATTCTAGAGATAATTTGCTGAGACACCCCAAATGGGGTTTATATTAGTGATTTACCCATGATGGAACTGATTAATTTCCTATGACGAAAAATGCCCTTCATTCTCTCTCCTTCATGCATGTGGGTGTGTCAGTTTTTTTTCTTCTAATTTTCACTAAAAACATTCTCTCCTAACTATGTAAAATAAATATACATGCAAAATAAATATGTTAAATATTTTTTATTTTGAGTTCACTTTGCTTCTTAAATAATAATTTCTAATTTTAAAATTACTCAATGTGATTGGAAAATATAAATTCAGTGATACTTATTTGTTAACAACTAATACATAACACCTTTATTAAGATATATAACTTTTATAAATATCTAACACTTCTGTTAATATCTCTGATACGTATACTTGTTAACAACTAACACCTCTGTTAACATCTGAAACATGTATTTGTTAACAGCTAAAACCTCTGTTAACATCTACATTATTTGTTAACCGTTAACAACTTTGTTAACAATCGACAATGGTGATTATTAACAGATACATTAACTGTTAATAAATTTTATGAATGTTAACAGTTGTGTTAACGGTTAACAAATACCTTTAATATTGAATTTATAACAAATTGTAGATTTTAGAGATGTTGAGATCTTGCAATCAATTGTAATTTATGTTTTCAATCATATCAAATGTTAAATTATTTTATCTATTAAAATATTTTGATATTATATTTTCAAAAATATCATTATTCAATATTGTTAGCCTTTAAAAAATCTAGCAAACATGTGGACAAAAGTGATGTAGGTATAGGTAATAGGACTATCACTTCTCTATAACTATCAGAAAAGTGTGTCAGTTACCAAGAACATTTTTGTCCAAAACCAAATAAAATGTATGTTTTCATCCCCAAATGTCCCATTATGGTCAAACCACTAATTAGAGCCTCCATTATGGCTATTTCCCTAGTTCTCTCTTTATTCTATGTTTCGAAGGAGATGCGGGGCATCGCATCTTTTTTTCTTACCTTTATATTATTTTATGTTTAGTCTGTTAAGCCTAATAATATGATTCGTAACCCACAAATCAAAGAGATGTTAAAACCCATTAACATTTTAACACACGTGTCACATCCTGAAACATCTATTTAGTGACGTGGCTAAAGCAAAAGAGGGAAAAGCCTAGCTTAGATAGATAGATGTTTCTAAACAAGTATGACTTTAGTATTTTTTATGGAGATAAAAAAAAATTATAGAAGACTAATATATATATCTATTTAATATATGATTAATTAAATGAAAATGATTTAAATAAAATTATATTGGTTATTCAAAAATATAAAAATAGATTTAATAAATAAAATTTATATTGAAATTGTAAAATAATATTTTTTGCAAAAAAATTAATGTGACATTTATTATGTAACAAACGGAATATATTCTCTCAAAATCGTTGTACGACACTTGATACTTGTGGACTAAATCATGTGATTGTTATTGCAATTTGGTGAATATGTGAAACGTTGTTTTAATCTTTAAAATTCTGAGTTATCAACCAAGTTAATTTTAAATTGTATAAATATATATATGGTTGACGATACAGTACTATACATATATCCCTTTGGTCTTGTTGAGAAAAAAATTAATTACTATTTCGACACTTTTTATGTACAAAAAATTTGAAATTCTTATAGTTTTTCTGGCTTAAAAATTGTTATAGCTTAGTTGTTTCAGTCTACCAACTTCATGACTCAAATAGTATTTAGATTTTATATATCTCTATAATATTATTTGAGACGTCAGTTTCTTATGTGTCGCGCTCACGTTAACTTTCACGCTGTATGATTACTATAATACCCTTAATAAATTTTAAAAATACATTTAAATATTATTATTTCCTTTTAAAAAATTTCCAGTTAACAGGAAAAAATAAAAAGGAAACATTTATAAAATTTAAAAAAACTATTTAAAAACGAAAATATAAGTATATATAAATATATATAAATATAGTTTCATAAAAAAGTAAAGTACACAAAATAGTAATACTTAATTTAAATATATATATATATATTAAATAACATAAAATATACTTTTGAAGTAATAAAATACTTTATATCTATATCTTCTTAGATGAAAAACAATATTTGTATATAATTTGATTCCATGAAAAAAGTTCACACAACTAATATTGATATTAGAAAAAGAAATATTTTTTTCTTTACAAAAAATAATTTTAAAAAATAAATATATATATATATATATATATATATATATATATATATATTTTCAAATTAATTAGTTTTTTTCAATATATTTATCTATTTTATTAGATGATTACATAAAACAATTAAGTACCATAAACTGATATATGTTTAATTGAAATTTGTTTCCATAATAAGCATTCTTGAAATATTTTTTTAGTATATTTATTTGATTATAATATCTTACAATTACAGCAAAAAAATATAAATTATATTTTAATTATATAATATAATTTCTTAAAAACAGTAACATTTTTATTGCATATTTTAGGAGAGATTAAAAACAAAACTAAAAATAAATTTTAAGAATAAAATTTTTTGATCAAATAACTACAATTATTTTAAAATATCATAACATGATACAAATTAATGAAGTAGATATATTATATTTTAATAGTTAAATTATATGTTTTCTTAATAACTCTTTTGATTTTTAATTTTCTGTTTTTATGTTTGTAGAACTTAATATAACCATAATCAAAATACTTAAGCAAATCATAATCCTGATTTTTTAAAATTATTTAAAATAACTTTCAGTTTACCATCCAATAAATCTAAATATTGAAAATATTGCTATGTGTTCATAAGCTTCCAAAAATTTATTAGTTACTTATGTATGTAATTTAGAATGAGACAGTTTTGTTTTTATTTTTATTTTTCTAAGCACAAATTTTTTTAAGTTATACATAATCTTACTAGATATACTTATATTTCTAAGATAACAACCGGCATAAATACAAATAAGACAATTAATCAAAAACTTAATATATTTAGAAGAAAGATATTATAGTTGAATTCAGAGAAATAGATAAAATCTAATATATCCAAATGATAACTAAATCAACCGTAAAAACAATAAAACTGACGAAATATAACATATCTAATTAAATTAACATAATATTATTAATATAAATTATGCCTACAAATTATAAAATAATTTAAAATTTAAAATAAATATCAAGCAATTATTATAATATATTTATTTTATAAATATTTATGTTCGTGCATGAACACGGGAAAATCACCTAATAGCTTCTAAATCAGAAAGAAACAACTTTCATAGATAATGTTTACAACTGTATGTACAATATATAGTAATAATATATATATAAAAAAGTGTATGGTAATATATCTGCTTTATAGTTAGATTTCTTACCTTTTTTATACATTCATACTATATATATATTTTTTGTGAGGGAAGTGAATTTTATATATTAGCACTTTCGGAAAAAAAACATATATATATATAGCTGGAAATCGTGATACTGATTATATTATATCTGAGGGATACTGATTTTAGTTTGTAAGCAAAAAGCTCACCATCACTATAGCTGGAAATCGTGTTGAGAGGTATGTGATAATGTTTAATGTCTTACATGTACAATAATATATCGGTTAAGAAAATCCTTTTTATTTTTTATTTTTTATTTTTTATTTTTTATTTTTTTGATAATCCAGATAAATCGGACATCCTGGAAGAAATCCGACTATCGCCTAAGTACATCTATGCAGAAAGCATCCTGGAAGACCGCCTTTTTCACCCCATTTTAATCGACAGTGATCAGCGGGATTCAAATCCGGATCCGTATTGGGGCCAAAGTTCCCTCAAAACCACTGATTATCCTTTTTAATTATTGAAGTACCCACAGATTGTGCAGGTCATACATTGAAGGTTTGTTTTCTTTTTGCGTTACTTGAAACAAAATAATACTTTGTTTCCTGTTACAATTCATCAGAATAGAACTGTTTTAGTCCTTCCAGAAAAACAGAATGGCTAAAGGAATTCAATCATTTTTAACTACTTTTCCGATAAAATATATAATTAGTAATCACACAGATAAGAGGGAAAAAAACAGAAAAGAAACAAACTAAAAAAAGAACACAGGTTTAGGAAGGGGTTAGAGAAGATTTGCCCTTAAATAAGACCGATTCAACATTTGTTTTCCTTTGGCTCTCTCTTTGAGAAAGTTCCATAAGTCCCACAGCCAACAAGTCTCTCTTGAATTGAATCTCAAACCCTAATTAAACCTGCCCTGCACGATTCTGATGTTGTTCTTTATTAATTTCTTCAGCTGTAAGGCTTTGAATAGTCTGTAAATAAACATATTTTATTTTGAAAATTTCAACAGAAACACCCAAAAAATATAGTTTTTTCTTACATTATAAAGTTGGAGTTGCCGGCAAGTTATGACAGCCGGAGGCTGTTTGGATATCCAAACAATGTTGTTCGGTCGTAAATCATCGAGCAAGTTACAGGTAAAATTGTTCTTTTTTTCTTGATTGATTTTATGCTATAGTTCTCTTGATTAATTTTTATTATTCATATCCACAAAACCCTATCATATATTCAGGAAATCATACAAATAATTTATAGGAAACTCTTGTGCAATAAGTTTCTTGTCTCTTGAGTTATATTACATACACCAGTATTCTCATAAACCCTTCATCTTGTTCATTTTAGATCATCAGATCTGGTATCTTTTCGTTACATAATGATGAAACATAAAGTAACTAACAATTTTTCATAACAACAATTTTCAGCCAGTAAAAAGCCAAGCATCACCTAAAGTTAGCAAGATTAACAAGAAGGATGACAAATCTTCTTCTTCACCTAAAGTTTCATCTTCACCAAAACCTTCTTCACCTATACCGATTAGATCATCTAAGACAATACTATCCGGGAGCCAACTATCATCATCATCGAGACGTGTTTCTTCGCCTATGGGCATCCTCAAGAATGTCTCTATTAGAGAAGCTAAGAGCCCAAAGACAACCAGCTCGCCTAAATGGACAGGAAACTTTATTCTTATGGTCGAGCTTCGCAGGAAGATCGTTACCTTTAGAGACATCATTGACCTTCCTCCTCTCGAGGGTTCTCCTTCAATAACCGATGTGAGTACACCACAAAGTTAGTTATCCTTTTTATTAATCATGTATATGTTTTGTACTCACGTCATTTTTTTTTTTGTTGATAGATGGTTATGCATACAATGAAAGATCTTCAAAATCTTTGTCCTGAGATTATCCACAGCTCACATATCTCGGAAATTAGACGTGCAAATGTCGATAAGGTATTCAATAGATGTACTTGATGTAACAGATTTTGTTTGAATAAATTTTACATTCATTCAAATAAAAATAAAAACATTATCTCAGTATATATCTTTCTATGCCCTGAGTTCAGATAACTTGAATATGATAAAATGTTTTTTTTCCGACAGGTTCTTGACCATTTCTTCAATGCTTTGAAATCCATTGGAGACTCATGGATCGATAACCCGGACTGGATAGCTAAATCCAAGTATTGGAGTAGCAGCGTTGGGAAGAATCAGTCTGATCGACTAGGTAACAAAAAACGTTACCTTCACATGAAAATCATTTCAAGATCTTAAAATTTCGAACTCTTTAAATGTTATGTTTCATTTGCAGTGGAAAAGGTGTTAGCAGCATTAGATGGACTAATCAAGATGTCTAAAGAGAGGTTTGATATGATGGAGATTGATGAAGTAGAAGATAAGAAAGAGTTGGTTAGTCCAAGGACTGCTAAAACATCGAGCAGTCGAGTTTTATCTCCATCTGATTCATTCTCCGACAGCAGAAGCTCGTTTTGCGGCTCACCAATCACGCCAAGGTCGGTTCTTCCAGAACCAATGATGATGGGTTCGCCGAGTAAACTTGGAGACTTTGCAAACTCTGCATCACATCTTCTGTGGAATATGAGAGTTCAGGCACTTGAGAAGCTTAGTCCTATCGATGTTAAGCGACTCGCTATTCACATTTTGTCACAAAAAGAAGCTCAGGAACCTAACCAAAGCAATGGAGAAGAAGTGATTAATGTTGTTGAAGAGAACAAGCCGAAGATGAATGATGTAGAGAGCATTGATGTGAAGATGGAGACAGAAGAATCTGTTGTTCTTGATGAGCAAGAAGATACAATCATGAAAGTATCTCCATTGGATTCAACATCTGAATCCAAACTCAATGCTTCAGTACAATCTGAACTTGCACCAGCATCTTTGTCACCACCACCTCCTCCTCCTCCTCCTCCTCCTCCTCCTCCTCCTCTATGCACTACAAAATCATTATCCTTAGCTTCTCAACCGCCGCCACCTCCTCCTCCTCCGTCACCACCGCTGATTGCAAAGGCTAATGTGGTAACCTTATCATCAATCCCACCTCCTCCGCCACTGCCACCATCTCCACCTTCCATTATGCCTTTACAAGATACTATTCCACCACCACCGCCTCCTCCTCCTCCAGGAGCTGTGGCGGCCCCACAACCACCGCCTTCACTTCCAAGAACTGCAGTGGCGCCACCACCACCTCCCCCACCTCCAGGGACTGCAGCTGCACCACCACCACCTCCTCCTCCACCGATGCAAAACAGAGCACCACCAGCACCACCAATGCCTATGTCAGGCGGTCGACCACCGCCTCCCCCACCACCTCCTATGCCTCAAGCTAATGGAGCAGCACCACCTCCACCACCCCCTCCTATGGCAAAGGGAGCAGCACCACCTCCGCCACCACCTCCTATGGCCAATGGAGCAGGACCGCCTCCTCCACCACCTCGAATGGGAGCAGCTGGTCCACCGCCACCACCAGGAGCAGCTGGTCCACCGCCACCTCCAGGAGCAGCAAGAAGCTTGCGGCCCAAGAAAGCAGCTACGAAACTGAAAAGGTCCACCCAGTTAGGGAACCTATACAGAATCCTTAAAGGGAAAGTAGAAGGTCGTGATCCCGAGGCGAAGAAAGGCGGCGGAGGAGGAAGAAAAGCCGGAGTCGGAAGCGCACCAGCCGGTGGAAAGCAAGGAATGGCTGACGCTCTTGCTGAAATCACAAAGAAGTCTGCATATTTTCAGCAGATTCAAGAAGATGTTGCTAAATACATGAAATCAATCAATGAGCTGAAGGTTGAGATCACTAAGTTCCAGACTAAAGACATGACTGAGCTTCTTAGCTTCCACCGCCGTGTCGAATCCGTTCTTGAAAAACTAACTGATGAGACACAGGTCAGCAATATTTCAAACATCTTATTATATGTCCTCTGTTTTTTCTCTGTGATTCTTGATATGTTTTGAAACTATTAGGTTCTTGCGCGATGCGAAGGGTTTCCTCAGAAGAAACTGGAAGCAATAAGAATGGCTGCTGCATTGTACACTAAGCTGCACGGTGTGATCAGCGAGTTACAGAACTGGAAGATAGAACCTCCTTTGGTTCAGCTTCTTGATAAAGTAGAACGTTACTTCACAAAGGTAAACTACTTTACTTAATGTCAAACCGTTTTAACAACATGTCACTTAAAAAGATCCAAAAATAAACAGATAAAAGGAGACATCGACACGCTGGACCGAACCAAAGATGAAGAAGCTAAGAAATTCCAGAGCCACAATATCCACTTTGACTTCAATATACTTATTCAGATCAAAGAGACAATGGTTGATATCTCATCAAGCTGCATGGAACTCGCATTGAAGGTAATTAACAGCTAAACAAATATGAAACTTTTATTTTTAAGTATTTTTAAACCAAAATCTAACCTCAAAATCACAGGAAAAGAGAGATGAAAAGCTTGTGTCACCTGATGCAAAGCCGAGTTTGAAGAAGACAGTAGGATGCGCTAAAATGCTGTGGAGGTCCTTTCAGTTTGCATTCAAAGTCTACACATTTGCTGGAGGACACGACGATAGAGCTGATTCTTTAACCAGAGAGTTGGCTCATGAGATCCAAACTGATACTCAGAACCCATGATGATTCCATCGTTAAAAATCATCACAGGTTCCCAACTACTACTCCTTTTTGCCTTTTTAAACACCTAAAAATTCCAAAATGTTTGATATGGAATGATAAAAAAAAAGTATATGTATAAGATTTAACCTATTGTTTTGGCTTTTGAGTTTGTAAATTTGAAGCCCACCCAAAAAGACTAGGATTTAGAGGTTTCATGGGAGCTCAGAGGTGGAGAGTTTTCTAGTGAAAACCTATAAAAACCTTTTGAGTCAAGGAAGACCTTTGTGTTGCCACCATGTGTAATATGGTTTTGTTGTTATAAACATTTTCTTTCTTTAATTCTACTTGTGAGCTATAAGTCGAAATCGTGACGACAAAACCTGGCAAAAGAAAGCATATTAATAAATTTTAACTAAAAATTAATGGTAACAAGAATGTTAATAGGAATCACAACTTCTTTTTTTTTTGAATTTATATATGATGAAGATATCATATTAGATTGCACTATTTATCTCATTACTCTTAGCTGGTATGCGAGTAGAATGGAATTGACTGAAGCCAGCATGCTCTATGGTTCTACTAGGCATTGATGTTTGCAATATGCATATCCAGATCTGGATCAGCTGATTATTGTTTATTTGAATCACTCAGACTCTAAGATCAAAGAACTAAAAGTTGTCATATGTTTCATGTGTCTATTGTTGATTGCTTAGTGGCTTATACAATGGCAGAGATTTTTGGTCAACATCAAACGATATCTTGTTGTGACATGCTGCTATAAAACGTATTTTATATACTTCAATGGATTGGTAAAATAACTAGAAAAACCAGACTTGTGATGTAATATACAATACACATTGCATTTTATAGGGCTCCTCGAAAGTGGCAGATAGAACAGCAAATCTGCATATTCACATCATGCAGATAGTTTTGTGTCTTTTGTCTCTATCTCTCTTGTGGAAAATTTACTTTACAATTTTCATTTTTTATCTAATGTAAAAATCAAGAGTTACAGAAGATACAAGAAACATACATGAGTTTTTGAATGATGCTTCCTGTTTGTAATGACTTCTTATTTGTTAGCACATCGGGAAGGGAGCCGTCTCCTTGAAACGCAGCAGCAGAGAGCTATTGTGATTTGTGATCAATCCGATTGTTGACAGGCTTACTGATATCAGGTTGCTAATGAAATCCCCCTTGTTTTAGTCTCATTTTTAATCCATCTTCTAGTGTGATTTTTCATTTTGTCTCTCCATCTTCTATAAGGAAAGACTTGAGGCTACTAACGACGAGTTCAAGCTTTACCGTTGCCATACAATCTTGAACTATGCTCGTGTCTGTCCAAAAGGTTTGAATCCAGGCAAACAGATCGGACACATCAAGCAACTCCAGCGTTGAACAGCCCCTTTTATGCATTATTGCGGTACTTGTTGAGAAACTACTCATCAGCCTTTTAAAAGGTTGAAGTTAATAATCTTCACAAAACTTTCGGTTTTTCTGTTGATTCTTGTTGCCAAATATTAGCACTTGAAAGAAAACTCTTTCGCAAGTCTTCCCAAGTAGATGAGCTTTGTTGTTGTATCTTGCTGAAATTCTCTTTTTAAGTAATAAACAACTTAACCCTATGTTGTCTCAGACATTCAGTTCAATAATGTCAAATTCCTAGTAAGAGAAATATCCATCTGGTCTTATAAAATCCCTAGGTAGACATAAAATCGGAGGGATTCACTTATGGGCTTTAGTTGGGCTTCTCAACCCTTTCTTATGTTTCCTATATATTTACAACATGTTTTCTTAGTTGTAATGTTTTCTATATTTACAATAGTAAATCACTTCTGACATCACCATTTTTTATAAAAAAAAAATCCAATTCAACAGTCAGAAATTATTTGATTTTAAGATCTAATAGACCACAAATACCATTTGAAAAAATGTTGATGTCATCAAATATTTGGCAACTCTTCTTTCAAGAGGCATATATTTCATTTTAAAAGTCATAATCATATTTGTCATACCTTTTTGACAAGTTTAAATATTAATTTGTGTTTTTTATTATTAATCTATTTGTAACTCTTGAGACTAATAGAGATTTTTTTTAATGAAAAGACATACTTTTTGTAATTTAAAAGCATAAATTTAAAACAAATATTATTCAGTTTTTATGAAAAGACACAAGTTTAAATATTAATTGGGGACTTTTTATAAATAAATATTTTCATTATGAGAAGACATCACTTATAACCTATTTTAAATACTTTTAAACTATTTTTTTCTGAAACACAAATTTTTATATAATGAAAAGATGCAACTTTTCAAATAATAGATATTTTTTTTATGAAAAATACAAGTTTATTTATAATGAAAAGATGCAACTTTTACACTAATATATTTCAGTTTTTTTATGAAAGATACAATCTTTGAACAATTGTTTTGTTTTTTCATCTAATAGTCCTATCAAATATTTTTTATGAAATTTTTAAAATAATAATAATTTTCTTTTTAAAATACACAATTGTTTTTATAATGAAAAGATACCACTTTTAAACTAATATATTTCAGTTTTTTTTAAAGATAAAACTTTTTTTTAACAATTGTTATTATAAGAAGACAACTCTTCTAACATCTTTTAAATACTTTTAAACTATTTTTTCTGAAACACAAATTTTTTATAATGAAAATATGCAACTTTAAAAACAATAGATAACTTTTTATGAAAATACACCATTCTGTTTATAATAAAAAGATGCAACTTTTAAACAATTATATTTTAGTTTTTATTAAAATATACAATCTTTCAACAATTGTTTTGTTTTTCATCTAATGGTCTAATAAAAATTTAATGCAACTTTTAAAATAAGATATTTTTAAAAGACACAATTATTTTTGTAGTGACGAGATACAACTTTTAAACTAATATATTTCAGTTTTTTTATGAAAGATACAACCTTTGAACAATTATTTTGCTTTTTCATCTAATAGTCCTATTAAATATTTTATGAAAATTTTAAAATAATAATGTTTTTAAAAAATACACAATTGTTTTTATAATGAAAAGATACCACTTTTAAACTAATATATTTAATTTTTTTTTATGATAAGATACAACCTTTCAACAGTTGTTATTATGAGAAGACACAACTCTTATAACCTCTTTTAAATACTTTTACACTAATTTTTATGAAACACAAAAAAAATTTATAATGAAAAATGCAATTTTTTTTATAATTGATTTATTTTTCTTCTATAGGTCCTAATAATTTCTTTTTTAAACTTAAACTAAATTTGCCATGAACAGTTATTTTTTTTAAACAACACATCTCTTTAATTTGAAGAGCCGTACTTTTCCTCACAACTCTTGAAAAATGCATTTTAAAACAAAATACACCTCTTGTTAATCTATCAATGTACCTTTTCAAATTACTAAAAATAGAACATTTTACATATGCATTTTTATAAGAAAATGTGCATGCTTTATTTTTCAAATATAAGTATGATTTTTAGTACTCTTTAATATAATGTTTGATTCATTATATAGATTTAAACGATCTTTAAAAATTTAATATGGTGTTTGCAAGAATAAATTAATAGGATACGAACATGTCGGGACTGAAAGGATGCAAACATGTTGGGACCGAAAGGGTACGAACATGTCAGGACCGAAAGGGTGCGAACGTGTCGGGACCGAAAGGGTGCGAACGTGTCGGGACCGAAAGGGTACGAACGTGTCGAGACCGAAATGGTGCACACGTGTTGGGACCGAAATGGTGCACACGTGTTGGGACCGAAAGGGTGCAAATGTGTCAGGACCGAAAGGGTGCGAACGGTTCGGAACGAAAAAGGTGTGAACGGTTCAAGACCAAAAGGGTGCGATCTGTCAGGATCATAAAGATGCGAACGTGTTGGCACCGAAAGAGTGCAAACGTGTCGAGAAAGGGTGCGAACGTGTCGGGATCGAAAGGATGCGAACATGTTGGGGCCGAAAGGGTGTGAACATTTTGGGACCAAAATGGTGCTAACGGTTCGGGACCGAAAGGGCGTGAATGGTTTGGGACCGAAAGGGTGTTAACGGTTCGGGACCGAAAGGATGCAAATAATTCAGAAGAAAAAAGATGTGAATGTATCGTAACCGAAAATGTGTGAATGTAACGTCATCAAAAGGGTATGAATGTAACGTCACCAGAAGAGTGCGATTATAATGTCACCGAAATGTGCAAATGTAACGTCACCAAAAATGTGTGAATGTAACGTTTCTGAAAGAGTGGGAACATAATATTACAAAAAGGGTTTTAACATATTGAAAGGGTACAAACATAATGTTATTTTATGTGTAGTAATAATCATATTTCATCATTATTCAGAATGTGTTGATATGATTATGGAGCTGAAAAAAGCGGGAAACAAACTTACCAGTCGAAGTTATCCACAAATTTGTTTAATTTTGTTTTTTTTACCATACACAGTCGACATAAGATATTATTTAATTATTACCTTTTTATATATGCAAGAAAATAAAAATATAAAGTATATTATCAGACACAAAAAGATATCAAGGAATCATTGGTTAGTAATTTTAATATTTGAATTTTACGAGAACTAATAACCATTTTCATTTATCGGTAAATAGATAAGGATATAATGGTCAAAAGTAATAATTTTTAAAAAACAACTAACGCATTGCAGTGATTGTAATGCATTAGTAGGGCTTGCCGAAAGCACCAAAAAAGATCGATTAACTAAACATCCAGTATTTTATATTGTTGTAAACAAGGACGTATCAAATTACCCAAGATTCGTGAGCCACCTATAGAATTGAGAAATTTGTTATGTGATCCTTTATTTAAGAGTAATATTAGAATATTTAATTATTGTTTATGTGTTCTATGGGTGCTGACATAGATTGTTCAATACTAAATTCTGGTTGTTCTTTTTGCTTTAAAGTTCATGGTGAAAATTATCACAGTATTGGATCACTTTTACATGTGGATGGGGAGAATGCCAAATTTTTACAGTTGTATATATTTGACACATCCAATAAAATAAAAAACAGACTTTCAATCATGAACCGAGATGGAAAAGAATCAGTAGATACATAAATATTATCATCATTGATAAAAATGCTTGACGGAAATAATGTACTAGAAAAAATATTTAGAAAAGTTAGAGATAAATATGAAAGTGGTAAATAATGCGGAAATAAAAATTTATATGGTAGGATACGATAAAAGGAAAAGACAATATGAATTGCCATCTTCTAATGACATAGCTGACTTATAGTTAGTGATTTTTCTACCACCATGAACAAAAAAGATGTTTTAGTTCAACATAAAACATGAAACTTTCAAATAATTTTGACAATCTAATGAAATTTAGGATTCAACCATTACGAGATCAATCTATGCTCGTCACATTCATCAATTTTCCCTGGAAATTTTAGAAGGCATATATCATCAATGATTTTGAAGTAGAGAAGGCAGGTGGGGTATAAAATTTCAAACCATTCTTTTAATATAAGATTGAATGCAAATTCATCAATAACGTTGGTATGAGAAAAAACTATATAAATAAATTGCGAGAAATTCAGATTCCGTGATTATGATCCACTTATGAAAATTTCAAACAAGAATATATCTTATGATGGTAATGGTATAATACACATACCCAAAAGTTATAAACATATACATTGTATGTTTATATATAAATTCATTTATACAGATGTTGTTTATGTAATTGTTGAAGAAAAGATAAATACAGATGATGCAATACCAGGTACTTGACAAAGAAGAATAAACCTTGACCTACAATTAAAAGTGTTAGTAACCATAATTTTATTAGGTTTTGTAAACAATCAATTACCACATCCAAATTATACAATAGTTGATATAAATGTTTGGTATTACACATATAACTAAAAAGTATATTAACTTGCACATCTAACTCAAAAAATTAATGACATTTTTTAAAAATAACTAAATTATTACAATAATAACTATATAACAAAGGAAGCAAAGTGTGTATAGGACGATATGGTAGATATGCACCAAAAACAGATGAAAAATAGGAAAACATATGGTGTTACTTTAATAATAACAAGTGTGAATCCCAAAACATATTTAGATATATATAAAAACATATTTCATATTAAAAAATTACTAATAAATTTTAACAATAAAAAACTAAAAATTAACAACATGAATTCTATGTTACCTTTACTTAAACACAATGCCCACTTTCACTATAGAACACCTCAAATACAAATGAAGGACGAGATCAAATTAAGAAAACTAAATGACGACATTGTAAAAATTACAGAAATTATAGATTTCGTTGCCAAAGATTTGTTTGAGGTAAACAAACATTTCAATTCTTTTTAAAAATTAATTTAGTAATTATATGCAACTTTCATTGTTAGGAAAAAGAGTTTATCATTGCAGGAAAAAAAATATTGAAATTAGTTCAAGAAATGTATAGAATTACATATAATGTAATCATTGTGCTAAAATATTTCAGAAAAGAGGTGAAAAACTTACTTGCAAAAAAATGCACAAAATCATATATTGTTGGCATATTATTGTAACATAAAAAATAAATTTTGTAGTTTTATTACCAACAGAATATTAATATCAAACCCATTAAAATAAGTATAAACTTGAGATTGTTGTCGAATATAACTCGGATTTAGTTTTATTAACCAGATTCAACAAAGACATGACTCGTATTTTGGGTAAATAAAAGACATGGTGTATAATCAGAAATTAATATTTAAAATTAATAAATGCAGAAACTATCATATATGTAATGATTCAAGTGATAATGCAATTATCTATTACTTTTTAGAAAAGCTTATGGGAAATTTTTTTAAATTCAATGTTAAAGTCACATCCTACAATTATCAGTCAAGTTCAGCTGGATAACGGTTACAAGTATCATAGACAACCAAAGTATTAATGAAGAGGTACAATATATTTGGAATATAATATATTTTTGTAAATACAAATCAGAAAATTAACAAACTTAGATTTTATTTTAATAACCTATTATAACAAATAAAATTGTTGAGAATGCGGATAGGATAGAAGAAACCAATGCTTTTAAAAGAAATAAAACAATGAAAAGAAGAATATCAAATACATCCAAAATATTTAAAACAAAGTGAAGCTAACAATCTATATGAAAGGGTAGAAGCAATTGAAGAAGTCAAACGACTACAAAAAAAAAAAAAAATTGAAGACGATTATGTTACTTAATTTTGCTATGCTAAATACATAACATATTTACACATTTGCACACACAAATTATAATTTCACTATTTTGTTGTATAAGATTATTTTAAAATTATTATCTACATATAGTTTATTAAATGATTCAAAATGATTGATCACCAAATATAAATTATATAAAAATAATTTTAAAATAAAATAAAATAAAATATCCTTGCGCGGGGGTGATGACCTTGTCTATCTGAAAGGAAACATTCTAAATTCTAAATACAACTTGTCTTGTCTTGTTGACATTAAAAAAAAAAAAAACTTGTCTTGTCTTGGTTAACACCAACTTTGTATTCACATACTATGTTATCTGCTTAAGACCATCAACAATGGTTTCAACACCCTTCCTCTTTTCAACACCCTCATTTTCTCCTTTTTACATTCCACATCATCTTCTCTTTCTTCCACCTCATTTATTCAACACCCACTTTCTTCTAAACCTCTACAATGGTTTGTTTTAAAAATTCAACACTGTACCCCACAATTTTTAATCATATTTTTTCTAACAATATAATAATTATATATTAATAATTAAATTAAAAACTAAGATAACATATAAATAGCGAGTGTACACTAAGTGTAAAGTACTAAGTGTACACTAGCGAGTGTACACTAGCACATGTACAACCAGTATAGAGTGTACACTAACGCGTGTACAGCCAGTACTGAGTGTACACTAGCTAGTGTACATTTTCAACATCCACTTCATTTTTTACCTCTAAAATAATTTGTTTTAAAAAATTCAACATCCTACCCTACAATACCATTTTAAATCATGTTTTTTATTTTTTTATTGTATTTAACTTAAAATTAATACTAAATTTATTATTATTAAACAATTGAAATCAATTTTTAAAAGTTTAAAACATTAGTATAGTTGATTATAATGAAAAAATGAAAATATTTTTCTGTATCCAAATGAAATGAGAGTAGTCTCTATCTATAGATCATAAAAAAATATAAATTTTGATATAATTTTTAATTTTTTAAGAAAAATTCTATTATAGAATAACTAAGTTTGAAATATTAGGTGAAACTAAAAATCACAAAAACATGTCAAACAGTTTCTTCCAATCCAATAACGCCATGTGGCAAAACTGTCCCACCGAAAAAAGAGTTTCAGCTCGCATGTTGATGCCACATAAGTTTACTCAAAACTTCAACACCCTTATTGGAAGAGGTTCAACAGTTGAAAACAAGTTTCAACACCTCCATTGTGGATAGTCTAATAAAAGTTTTAAAAAGTTATCATTTAGAGTGTACTTGCTACGTGATATTTTTTATGCATGTCAAACGATATAAATTGATCTCAATAGCTCCCCGCTGCATTTCAAGGAGAATATCATAATAGATTGCAATATTTATCACCTTACTCTTAGCTGGTATGCGAGTAGAATGGAATTGACCGAAGCCAGCATGCTCTAAGCTTCTACTAGACATAGATGGTTGCAATCTGCATATCCAGATTAGGATCATTATTGTTTTATTTGAATCACTCAGACAAGATCAAAGAACTAAAAGTTCCCATAGGTTTCATGTGTCTATGGTTGATTGCTTAGTGACTTAAAATGGCAGAGATTCTTGGTCAATTTCAAACGATATTTTGTTGTGACATATGCTAAATGTATTTTATATACTTCAATGGATTGGTATAAATAAATAGAAAAACAAGACTTGTGATGTATACAATACACATTGCATTTTTGTAGGGCTCCTCAAAAGTGGCAGATAGAACAGCAAATCTGTATGTTCACATCATGCAGATAGATTTGTCTTTTGTCTCTATCTCTCTCTTGTGGGAAAATTTACTTTACTTGCTCTTTTTTTTAACTAATGTAAAAATGAAGAGTTACAGAAGATACAAGAATCATACATTAGTTTCTGAATGATGCTTCCTTCTTCAACCCTAAGCTTCCTACTCTCTCTGTTCCAAAGATGAACAGCCAAGCTATGTTTACGTAAATGCATAAGTCTCTTCCTTGACCACTTTGCTTCTCTCTCACTCACAGACGCTCTGTAAAATCTACTGATTCTAGTCCAATCCACTGGATAAAACGAAGACGGTGGAAGAACAGAGAATCCCAAATCCGAGGAAGAAACGTTGAATCTTGCAACCACTCTTGACACTAAGTATGGACCGTTGTGACCCCATTTGTTACCGTTGAAGGTTCTTGAGAACTCATTGATGAAGCTTTTAAGCAAAGGATGGTTCTTGTCGAAGATGAGCACCGCGTTGTTGAGCCTGCTCCATTTTCTTGTAACCTGATCAACTGTTTGTGCTCCTATTACGTTGTGGAGATTGGTGAGAGGTTTGAGGATTATAACATCTGTGTCTAAGTAGATTCCGCCGAACTTGTAGAGCAAGACTAGTCTTAGAAGGTTGGAGAGGTTCTGCTCTAATGGAATCACTCCTGGACTGAACATTCCTTTCTTTAGTCTCTCAAACCATTTCTCTGCTGACGTGTCTTTGAAGATGTAAGTGAAGTCTGGTTTGATGGAAAGCACTTTAAGCCCTTTATCTGTAAAGGGTTTCAATATTAGGGTTCCTCTCTGACAGTCAAGTGAGTTTGAGACCAAGATCAGACAGCTATTTGGGTGAGACTTGAAGAGACTCTCTACTGTGAAACGTTCTCTATGACCAAAAGATTCTATGGAGGAGATCCAGATCATGAAGAACAGAGACTCACATGAGGATTTAGACAAGAATGACTTGATCCGAGTCTTGAATACATGTCTTGATTTTCCTTGTGGCTTACGTGTCATCTCGGGTGTTAACTGGTTTCTTCTCTTATGCCTCCTCGTCCTTCTCTCTATCTTTTCGGGCGAAACGTTCTGCTTTTGTACGAACCCTAAAGAGGTTTCTTTCACCGCAAGCAACAATGAAGAATCTGACTTAGATGATGATGTTGATAATGATGGATGATGATGAAGAAACTGGTGGTTATAATTGAGTGGAAGAGTGGATTTGGGTGGGATTGGATCAAGATGAAGAGAGAAGACAGAGAAGCTGTTGTAGATTAAGAGAAACATGAGAAGAAGACCTAAAAGAGACAATGGAAGACAACAAACAAATGATACGATCAATCTTTTTAAGCTCTGCAGTAACATAACTTGTTCTGTTTTTCTGCTCTCTTCCATCTTTTGTTTTCTCTTCAAACAAATATTGCAAAAGACAGAGACTTGTTCTGTAAAAGCTTGCAAGGATGAGAGGGTGTAGGTCTTGTGTAAAAATAATTGTTTGCTGAATAATAATTAAAAAAATAATCTTTTAACGTTCTTGGCATGCCAAATATACATGTACTATCATATATATATATATATATATATATATATATATGTTAATATATAATTTAATATGTGAAAAGAATGAGTAGTGAGATGGGGTGGGCAAAAATACCAAACCGAACCGAGTTAAACCGAATCCATCGAACCGAAACCGATCCAAACCAAATCAAAGTCTATTATCAAATAGTTCGGTTTAAAATTTTCCCGATCCGAACCAACCGAACCAAACCGAATTTAACCAAACCGAGAAACTAATGTATTTTGTTATTATTTAAATTAAATATTTTAGCAATACAAAATATATTAAAATCCTAACATTAAAGTTACTATCAACTTTATTAACGATGTTGGAATTTTTAAATATTCTATTCATTTTAGTTAACTCTGATTTGATTGTATTTTTATATTTTTGTGATTTTAAAAGATTATTGTTTCAATTTTATATTAGATTTAATTTACATAATTTATTTTTATTTTTATTTATTTTAGTTAACTTTGATTTTATTATGTTCTTATAATTTGTTTGTGTGTTTAAAGTTTTAATTTTAATTTTATATTAGATTTATTTTACATAGTTTATTTTTTTATAGTCACCAACATGATAATTTCATGATCGTGTCTTTATGTTTTAAAACATGATTTCTCTTCAATAAACTTAAACTAAGAGAATCCTATTAAACCGAACTGAAACACTCACCAAACCGAACCGCATACGAACCGAACCTAAACCAAGCAAAACTATTTATGGTTTATCTTGGTTAGACAAATTTTAGAACCAAATTAACCAAACCGAACTGATAAAATAACCGAAATGCCCACCCTTAGTAGTGAGTACTAAACTATCAATTAAGAATGTGATTAGAATTTCTAGTTTTGATTTATCAATTTTCCATAACTGATGAAAGTGTTTATGTTAGTAATAAGGCAACTTCTTAATTACTTATGTTATTTAGCAATGTTGATTATTCAAACAAATATTACTTATGTCTTCCACTGTTGATCATTCAGACCACTAAACGTAGGTCGATCATAATTAGTTATAGCAATCTGACTGGCAAACGCGGGTGCCGAAGTGACCACCTGGTGTGCTCAAGCTAATGGTTCGTTCTTTGTTCAGAATTAAAGGCTGATGGCCAGAGAAATAACAGTCTCCACCATAAGATCTTCTCATGCGGTGGATGATGAAATGCTTAAATGAACCAATTATGTATACTTTAGGTTTTTCATGTCCGGAATGTGTTCTATGAAATAATTGAATGAACCAATCAAAGTCTTTTACTTGCTTAGCCAACATGAGTAGATTCTTGGATTGTTTAGTGGCTATTAGGACTTAAAATACATGCATGCTTGATGGTGATTAACCAATGGAAATTGATGTTAAAAATTTAATCAGCTTAAAAGTTATTGTTACGAAATTGGATTAGCTCAAATTAGTGATCCTAGACCTAAGGATTAGAAATTTGTTTTCGTTGAACAATCATAAGTCCTCACCCCTATTGACCAAAAATCTTTCAACTCTTTTATCAGTGGTTGTAGAAAAACATCGAGAGATCTTTTTGGATGCTTTGGACCATGTATTAATATGGTCAAGAGTAGAAACTCTCGTCGCATGCACATCTCCGGTGGCAGGTTGTACGGTGTAAGAAAGACCGGCCACAATGAATATTGTCTCCCTGACATTCCAAATGGACTAAATCCATCAGTGCATAATCCAAGATATACATTCTGACTAGTGCTAGCAAAATGTGGATGTACATTGTTAAAATGTTTCCAGGCTCTTGCATCTGATGGATGAGTCATCTCTCCATCCGTCTGAGTATGCTCGGCGTGCCATCTCTTCCCTCCAGCAGTCTCCTCAGATTTGTACAATCTTTTCAATCTATCTGTGATTGGTAGGTACCGCATCCTTTGGTACGGTACCCTATTACGCCCTCGACCTTGTGGTTTGAATTGTGGCTTCTTACAAAATCGACATTTTCTAACTTCTCATCATCTCCCCAATAAATCATGCAGTTGTCGATGCAAACATCTATCATCTCTGAGGGCAACCCAAGACTATATACCAATTTCTGAATCTGATAATAAGATTCAGCAGATACATTGTCTTCTGGCAAATACTCTTTAAACAAGTTTGCCCATGCATCCATACAATTTTCAGGTAGATTGTGATCGGTTTTAATACTCATCATTCTAGCAGCCAACGACAATTTAGACAGACCTTCTCTACAACCACTGTAAATTGGCTCATTCGCAGCTTCTAACATTTCATAAAACTTTTTTGCATCTAAGTTAGGTTCTTCAACTTCATCATCATCATGAGTTACAAATGCA